GGGGGGGCATGTGTGGGGCTGAGGGAGCGTGATATGTGGGTCTGGGGGACCCACGAGCTGTGGGGCTGGGGGGTCCCCATGCTGTGGGGCTGGGGACCCAGAGCTGTGGGGCTGAGGGATCCCTAAATTTGGGGGCTGGGGGACCCCAATCCATGGGGCTAGGGGCCGCCGTTGTGTGGGGCTGATGGAACCCTAAACTGTGGGGCTGGAGGACCCTGCTCTGTGGGGCTGGGGGACCCTGATATGTGGGGCTGGGTGTGAGGATGCTGTGGGGCCGGGGACCCCCATGCAGTGGGGCTGGCTGGGCCACGGGGGCCCCCCAAGGACCCACAGAAGGGACCCCATGGAGGGCACTCAGGTGTCCAAGTGTCCCCAAATAGGGGACCCAGGCGTCCAGTCAGCTCCATAGAAGGGACGCCAGCAGCCGAGAGACCCCATGGAGAGGACCCAGGCATTCAGGTGACCCCCAAAACAGGGGACCCAGGCATCTGGGCCCCCCCAAATAGTGGACCCAGGCATCTGGGCGACCCCAAATAGGGGTCCCAGGGGTCTGGCCAGCCCCATAGAAAGGACCCAGGCATCCGGCCACCCCATAGAAGGGACCTCGGTGCCCAAGTGACCCCATGGAGAGGACCCAGGCATCCGGGCCCCCCGAAATAGGGGACCCAGGCGTCCGGGTGACCCCGAAGAGAGGACCCAGCTGTCCAAATGTCCCCAAATAGGGGGCCCAGGCATCCGGGTCCCCCATCCCCACTGACTCCCCATATCCCACAGGTGGGCGCCGCGGGGATGGCTCCGGTCGTGGAGGTGTCGGACGCCGGGCATTGCCGTTCGTTACTGGTGGAGCTAAACGAGCAACGGTTGAGGGGCCAATTCTGTGACGTCACCATCATCGCCGAGGACACCAAATTCCGAGCCCATAAAAACGTCTTGGCCGCATCCAGCCCCTTCTTCAAACAAGCTTTGGCCGAAGAACCCACCTGCCCAACCCCTGCCCAAGTTTTGGAGCTTCCCGGTGTCCAAGCCGGCGTCTTCTCCGACGTCCTCAACTTCATCTACAACTCCCGCTTGGCCGTCCCGTCGCAGGCAGCTGCCCGCGAGTTGGGCGCCGTTGGCCGACGGTTGGGTATCTCTTGCCTCCAAGGGTTGGAAGTGGGGACCCCCAAGGAGATGAACGGATCTTGGACCCCCCCTGTGACGGGGGATCCCCGCTCACCCGCCGCCCCGGTTGATTTAACCTGCCCGCCACGGTCGAGCGATACGCCGGCGGTTGCCGAACCGGTGACGGCGTCGCCGTCATCGGCATCGTCGTCATCATTGCGTTGCGGGTTGTGCGGTCGAGGGTTCAGCACGGCGGCGGCGTTGGGATTACATGCCAAACTTCACCGTGGGCGCCGGGGTTTGGCGTGCCGGCATTGCGGCAAGAGCTTCATCCACGTCAAGAGGTTGCAAACCCATGAGGTCCTCTGCAAGGACGGCCATCGCGACGGTGACGCTGTCACCACCAACACCACCACGCCGACACCGAAACAAGGCAAGAAGGCATTGCTGTTGCGTCACCGGGCGTTGGAGTTGATCCCTGAGCAGGAACCGGTGGTGAAGGTGGTGGACGGGCACGTGGTCTACCTGTGTGGTGTTTGCCAACGCTCCTACATGACGCTCTCCAGCCTGAAGCGTCACGCTAACGTCCACTCTTGGCGACGCAAGTACCCTTGCCGTTATTGCGACAAGGTCTTCGCTTTGGCCGAATATCGCACCAAACACGAGGTCTGGCACACCGGTGAACGCCGCTACCAGTGTATCTTCTGTTGGGAGACCTTCGTCACCTACTACAACCTCAAGACCCACCAGAAAGCCTTTCACGGCATCAACCCAGGGCTCATCTCCTCCGAGAAGACGCCCAACGGCGGCTACAAGCCCAAACTCAACGCCCTCAAGCTCTACCGGCTCTTGCCCATGCGGGCGCACAAGCGACCCTACAAGACCTACAGTCAAGGCTTGGTGACTGATGGGATCCTCTTGCCAACGGCCAATCCGGTAGAGCCATCGGCGACCGTCGGCGCTTTCCCATCGCCAAGACCCGAACCAGCATCGGTCATTGCCTACGGGCGACCATCAGCATCGGTCATCGTTCATAGCGGGGCGGCAGCCGCTTCCGTTATCGCCTATAATGGGAGGGCGGGGGAGGCAGCAGCGGTGCCGGCAGTGCCGGCGGCACCGGCGGCGGCGCCAGCGGCCCGGCCGATGAAGAAACAGGTGCTGCGGGATTACATTGAGGCGCAGCGAGCGGCTGGGGAGGCGCCAGTGGGTGATAGTGGGACAGCACCGACAACCCAACCGTCACCCGCCGCCGCCGGCACCGGTTCCACCACCACCGCCAGCCGTACCATGACCTACGTGGCCAAACCGGCTTACGTGGGGACGGCGGGGGAGAGCCGGGCGGCGCCGCTTTGCCAAATCACCGTCCGTATTGGCGAGGAAGCCATTGTCAAGCGGCGCATCTCCGAGACCGACCTCCGGTTGGAGACCACCGGCACCGGCACCGGCACCACCGCCTCCCCGACTGCTCACCGTCGCGCCGCCGCCACTGCCGCCTGTTCCCGCCGGAGCGGTGACGATGACAGCGATGCCGAGGACCGTCTTTGGCGCCCATATTACACCTACAAACCCAAACGGAAGACAACCGGCGGCGGTACAACCGGCGGCGGTACAACCGGCAGCACAACCGGCTCCGTCAAGGCAAAGAAATCCCGTTGGCGCCGCAAGTTGCGCTCGTTACGGTGGTCGACGGGTGACGGTGACGAAGGTGACGGTGACGCACAGTCGGGGGACGGGCACCGGCGGCGGGATTGGCAACACCCGTGCCGGGTGTGCGGGAAAACTTTCACGGCTTTGAGGAAATTACGGAAACACCAACGGGGACACGAGGGGACGTCCGGCGGGGGAGGGGGGGTGGGTACGACCGGTCCCCCCACCCCCCGCGTGGGACGGCGGCCATCTTTGCGCTTCGCCTGTAGTCGCTGCGCCAAGGTCTGTAAGACGGCGGCGGCGCTCAGCCGGCACGCCAAACGGCATCAGGCGGAGTCGCCGCCGCCATCGCCCGCGTCGCCGCCGCCGCCAACTGTCATCGCCTACACCCCGCCGGCGGTGGCGGGGGTGAAGGAGGAAGGGGGAGGGGAAAAAGGGGGTGTCACCCCTCCCCCGCCGCTGGGTGATGACATCGCTGTCCCCCCCCCGATTCCCAGTGACGGGGTCGACACGGTGACGGGTGGCGAGGGGGTGTCACCGTCGCCGGGTCCCAGCGGGGGTTACCCGGTTCAGGAACAACCTTTGGCTCTACTGAGGCGGGGGGGGGACCCCGAAA